AATTAAAATTAAGTTATACATAAATAAATAAAAGAGTTCAGCCTCACCGATGGGGTTTTCTCAAATTAACATAGGAGGTCATTAACATTTTAGGGATGCATATTTTAATATTTTTCAGTCAAATTCTGTTTTATTAGTCTTTCAGTTTCCTATCTGATCTCTTCCTGAAATTCAAATTCCTCTTTAAAACCTAAGTAGAACAACTGCAGCTCTAGAGTCACTTGATTTTTACAAGAGTTGACATAAAGCTAAATATTAGTGTGAGAGGAGGAGGTTCTGTCTCCGTTAACTCTCTGATTGACCCTTTGAAAAAAATGGCTACGTATAGTTAACTGAACAACTGCTGCTGGACATTTGGCTGCACTCACACTCACCTCAGATGGAAAATGATCGGAAACTGGAGGCACTTTCTAAAACATTAATTGGATAACTTTACTTTGTCAATTTTTTATTGGCATGTATTGAAAATGAGTGTGTTTGAATAAATAAATAAATGAGTAAGAAGCTCAATGTTATCTTCATCTATATCTTATTAACTGAAGCTTGAGAATAGAGTTATTGCACATTAAAGAGACAATGTGTAGTTTTTAAAATTAATCTCTGAAAAGATCCATCAAAATGTTGAAAATGAATTCAATGATTCCCAGTGGTTGAAAAATAACATATAACTGTAAAAACCAGGTCTAAAATGCTTGGGAGTGGGTCTAAGTCTCTGGGTGACACCATAATAGACGCTATGTTTCCTTCTACGGGAGCCCATGAGGACAAAATGCATTTGCTGATCTGTAACAAGCAGTTACAAAACTTTCACCGTTCATGAATGTTGTTTTACACATTCACCTCTTCACTCGTTGCCAGTGATGAGAGTACTTGTCATTTTGTTGGAGGTTGAACGAGATGAAGTACAAATTGCACTCTCAGGTACTTTTGACCCTAATTGCTAGCCGTTTGTAAGGTCTTACTTGACCACAAAAATATTGCTAGCTTGCAATGATTTAAGCATATGCTGCCCCCTATTGCCAGGAAAATGCACACCGTCAATTTAAGCTTCGTTTAATTTTTTGGATTTTTAAAAATAACAGAAGCCAGTCGTGATTTCTGGAAATGGTTTTGAATGTTGAAATGGAAATAATTGTTTCATAACAAAGAACATTTCATCATAAAAAACAAGAAACATTTAAATAAAAAACTTGTTTTCTATTCATAAGCAAAACTTTGAATAAATACTGAAATTAGTTTGAATTTAAAACCAAGGTCATCTTTGATTATTACATTAACAAACTCTAGACAATAAATAAAAATAAAATCATTTTTTTATTAACCACTGTTAAACGCGTCTCCTACTTCATATTGAGCAACTTAAAAGAAAATGCCATGGCAACAGAGGAGCATAGAGAAATTGTACAGTTCCGTTCATCTACACATGGCAGCTGATGCTGTGAGCCAGTTCTGGTGCCAAAGTGAAAAAAAATAGACAAAACACAAACATGGCATAACCATACGTTCACGATCCCCCGATTCTCTCTGCTTTTGACTAAAGTTGTTTAAAAAATGTTCTCACTCCCAAATCTCCTGCAACAAGTGGACTCAAAAAGAAGAAAATGCATCAACATTCAGCCAAACTACTTTGAATATGTACTAGAAAAGTGCTTTCAGCTCAGTTGTGTTAAAATGATCTCTAAACAAATGTTGTGTTGCATGAAGTGATTAAAACACCATTTTGGTGAATAAAAGGCTTTGGGTTGAAAATAACGGTATTGCTAGCTGAACCTGGCTTGTTGGCATGAAAAGGTTTACTTTCATGAGTCCAAACCACACGCATGCCAACTGTTAACCACTAACAGCTGGCCAGATTCAGTCAGACATGAAACAAGTGCTTTGAGAGTATAATGATCAAAAATGAAAATTACAGTTTGCTGCCTATGACAGAAGTCCTGCCAGGGCGTAAATATTTCCGGGTTGTATTTTTTTAAGATGTTGTAGCAAACTTTGGAACGATAACGGTTCTTGAACTGAACATTTAGATCCCTGCTTCTCGTGTTTGACTGGTGCTTTTTTAGGCACCTGCCTGCTGAAAATCAGCATACAGCACATTTAGCTATACTTCTAGTTTCCTGTTTGATGTTTTCCAGGTATTTTCAGATTCCTTTCACAGCCTTTGAGAACATGCAAGCATAAAAAACAACCCAAATGAGGTAATTTCTCCTTCCTTTCAAAGGAAGACCAGTCTCTGCTTTAGGAAACACCTCCTTGGGGTAAAAGCTGACATGACTGCTAGAACAGGGGCTGCAGTGTTCTGGGAAGGCAGCAGGGCTCAGTAGAAAAGGAAGGAGAGATTTAAAAGGTTGATAAAGGAGTACAAGTAGTAGGAATATGGATTAGTGATGGATAGATGGAGTGTGAGATGAGAAAATATGAAGAGGAATCAAAGATGAGATGAGAGGAGAGGAGAAGGCACATGAGACAGAAAGCAAGGATTATGAATGGACAGGTGGAGTGGACAGAGAAGGGGAAGATGAGTGCTCAGAAAGACAAGAATAGAACACTGAAGGATTAGCAACTGAAGGATCTAGCAGAAGAAAGGAGGAATGATACACTTTTATGTTTGTGAGCCTTGAGAGCAGACAGTAACTAAAAGTTCTGTTTGCCTCCTGCTGATTCCAATAATCTCTGCTGGTGAGTGCATCTTTCTCCATGAGCTTGTGCGTTTACAACAACCCTGTCACTCAGATTTTCAAAATAAAATACAAAACAAGCAGCCAAATTTAAATGTTTGCACTTGGTGTGTTTCTATTTGCACCTCATCCATCTGTTCTCTTTTGGAAAATAAACTAAGGCTTCATTCTCTTTTATTTAACATTCACAAAAGTGTGATTTGTCACCAGCTCACAACCCTGGAGTCTGGAGTGAAGCTCCAAAAACCTGCATGCAGCATACTCCATTCTAGATGGGAAAAAGAAATAAAAAAACTGGATACATTTCAATGCAGGAATTGGAAAAATTCCCAGAAAACCGTCACATTTGTATGAAAAAAGGGAGATATCTGCTGATTAAATGTAAAGGGGAAAAGCCAAAATATCCACCTTCAAAGGCATAACAAACAAGAATTTAACTCAAATATTCTCTGATATTATGAATTAATAAGTTTGCTGGAAAAACTCTGAGGGTTGCCGGTTCCAACCCAGGAACTGTATATAACAGTCCTTGTGACTGGGGCAAGACACTTCACCCCCTTGCCTTGCCTCGGCAGCCTCGCTTAAGTGCGCCCCAGGGCAGCTGTGGCTCCAATGTAGTTTATCACTACGAGCATGTGGATGTGTGTGTTTGAGTGTGTGAATGACTGAGTGTGTTGTTAAGTGTCTTGGAGGATTGTTAAAACCTAGGAGGCGCTATCTAAATAGATGCAATTTTCCATTCTAATTTACAAAAAAAAAAGAAGAAATTATGAAAAATAAAGAAAAGAAATGTACCTGTATGAGAAACCAAGACTTGGTGTGGAATCCAGTGATTATCAATAATCGTGACTTTACCTTAAACACAGTCTTGTAGGTTTTTAGACAAAGATGGACACTATCAGCACTTTTTTCAACCAACTTGATGAAATTTTCTCAACTTTATATTTTTCACCTTTGACTTACTGGAATAACTGGTTGGACTATGAGTTGACTTACAGCAAATACCTAGCAAAATTCCCGTAACGTTTGGGGTTTTCCTCTACGTTTTATTTAATTTACTTATTTATTATCTTGCTTGTGGGGTGGGGTGTTCCATCAAGACATGTGTACACCAACGTGCATGTAGCTGCATGCAAGACACCCTATAAATCAGTTTTATTTTAAAACAGATCACGATTTCAAATGGCATCCATTTTTTAAAAAAGGTAGAGCATTCATATTATAGATTTGATAAATCCCTGGTTAGGGACTTTATGTATACTGTGGCTTCTAAAAATTTGAAATGGCAACATCTTACATTGGCCACTGGGCTCTGGGGGGTTGCAGGGACAGATGGGTAGATGGATGGAAGTAATGGGAAGAAGGAGGGAGGAGTGGAGGTTCGGGGTTGTTGGGTTCATGAGAGCTGGATGGCGAGGGAGCTGAATACCTCGAGCTAAGCAAATTAAAGTAAAAGCAAAAGATGAATGACAGTGGGGTACAGGGTGCATCTGGGAGAGCAGCAAACAAGTCGTTGAGCAAGCCAAGGGAGGAGGGTGGAGGTATTGGAGGAAGATAGAGGAAGGAAGGAGAACGGGAATGAGAGTCGTGACTGTAGGTTGATTTACGGAGGCTTTCCTTTTAATGAAATTGTTTCAGTGACAGAGCCGGTAAAAGGCCCTTAATGGATTGGCTGGCCTAATGTAATGAAATTACTCCCTCTTTCACTACATAGAGGGAAAAAAAAGAATAAAAAAAAGAACATGGGGAGGGGGGAGGGCAGGGAGGATGGGAGAGGAGAAATGCAATTAATATTTACAGAACAGACAAGCAGGGTGGGCTTTAGTGGTACTCGCTCTCCTTCTCAATGCGTCTGCCTCGCTCACTCCTCTCTCTCCTGGTGGCCAGTGTGCGGCGGGTGGGCGGCGGGGGAGGGAGGTGATAGGCTGACGATGGGCAGGCCACTTCAGCACACCGGTCTCCTCTCTCCTGCTCTCTTTTTCCTCCCATCGTCTCTTCTGGGCCGGTCACATCTGTGCTGAGGTGAGAGACTGCACCCTAGCCTGTGCTCTTGCTGTATGGACTAGTTTTCCCATGAGTGTATGCTTGTTAGAGTGTGTGTGAGGAAGACTTATCACTGGTGTCTCCCACCTGCTACTTTAACCCCATTACTCGGGTATCACCTTGCACACATACTCACATTCACACTCATTCACCGTCTTGTCCCTCCCCCGGCTGAGCGAACCTTGCAGACTTGTGCCTGACTCTCTCCAATCTCTCTCTCATCTGTGTGTGTGTGTGTGTGTGTGTGTGTGTGGCTGTGTGTATGTGTGTGTGTGTGTGCAGGCAACTGGACAGCAACCACATCAGCTGCATTGAAGATGGAGCTTTCCGAGCGCTGCGCGATCTGGAAATTCTGTAAGTAGAGAAAAAACGGTGGTCCTCTTCCTCCTCCTTCTCCTCATCGGTTCCTTCTCCTTGTCTCTCCTCCTTTTCATGTGTCGCCTGTGAAATGGGGATCTCTAGATAGGAGGCACTCTCTTCCTTCTGCTGCCATCCTTGTTCTCTGCCTTCATTCTCTCTGTTGTTTGACTCTTCTTTTCCAATGAATTAGATTTTTCTCAGCTTTTTTTTTCCTTCAATTACTTTTTCATCTCTCACATTTATCCACTTTTCTCATTGCTTTCCTGATGTTCTGCTGATGCAACTACTCCAAAGATTTAACTTAAATGTTCTTCTGTTGAGAATATACATTTAAATATTTATTCATGTGGTCTTTTTTAATCTGATATCTGTGTATCTTATGCAAATATTGTGAAAATTGCTGGCAAAGATGAACAAACCTGTTAATTCACCAGCAATGAAGTCCTTGACTTGCAACACACACACACACAATCAGAAGTCATGCAACAAAAAAATAAGAAAGAGTGCATCTGCCACCTGATGTGGTTTGCATTTCCTCTACACCAGGTGCGTTGGCGCATGTGGGTGATTTCTGCCTGTGTTTGAGGATGCGCTTAATGTTTTTATGTGTTTGCCTCCAGCTGTGTGAGTGATGGAGTGTGTGTGTGTGTGTGTGTGCATGTTCGTTTTAGCTTGTATGTGCACCTGTCCGTGTTTTTATAGCTGCTCATATGTCACTTTGCTCAGTCGTGGTGACTGGCGACTGTGCACAGCAAGTTCAGAAAAGAAAAATGTCGACTTTTCAGCAAAGACTTTACTGCGTTTGCATCGCTTTGCGTGAGCGTGCCTGTTTTACAGTAGAGGCTGTGCTTTGTTTCGTCCAAGAAAATCAGCTGGCAAAGAAGATTTTTAGCTATTGTTTTGTTTTAGGGGACCTTTATATTTAGAGGTATTATTGTATTGTGCACCAAGGGAGTGGCACTCCAATTTCGTTGTATCCTGTACAATGACAATAAAGGCTATTATCATTATATTATTAAACGAAATATCTGTATTGATCAGCTTTTTTGTATGTGAGAAACAGATGAAAAAAGTAAAATAATCAAGGCTCGTATCGTTGTCTGGACACATTCTAGTGAATCTGTTTGCAGAGATGTTGCCACTTAATCTCAGATGTGTGAAGGTGGTATTGCAAGAGGAAAGCTATATTACAATTGGAACGGAGAAATAAAAATGTAAAAGAGTCTCTCCCCGGTTATGTAAGTCATGGATAACTTTTGACAAATTGGTAAATTAGAACATTGTTTTTTTTTTTTTGTTAAATCCAAACAGTGGTGAGTGGTGGCTCAGGGGATAGGAGCTCACCCATTGGGTTGCTGGTTCGAACCTAGACTCCATCGGTGTCAGTCGTTGTGTCCTTGGGCAAGACACTTCAGCCTCCTTGCTTGCTGGTGGTGATCGAAGGGGCCGGTGGGACCTGTGTACAGCAGTCTCACGCCTGTCAGTGTGTCCCAGGGCAGCTGTGGCTACATTGTAGCTCATCACCACCAGGATGTGAATGGATGGATTAATAGCAATGGTGGTGTAAAGCACTTTGGAGTCCTCTGACTCAGAAAGACGCTTCACAAGTTCAAGTCATTTATTATTTCTGTAATAAAAGTTATATTGATCATTTGATCTGCTTGAATGAAAGAGGGCTCCAACTGCCCGATTCTGAGAGAAACCAATCATATTTTACAAACAAACTTGGGAAGTTTTTCCTCACGGCGTCAGAAGGAACTCACTTCCCAAAAAAGAACTGTGTCAATGTCAAAATGTGCTGGCTATTGATGGTTGATTTTGGGTGAAATGACACAAATCCTTGATAAAACCATTATCCATACATTTTATAACAAATTATTGTTTTTCCTCTAAACTCCTAAAGGAGTGATGGTTGAAGGTTTTATGGGATAGAACAGGTGTTTTTGGTAAAGAGACTCCTGCTGTACTCTTATAGGTGCAGCTGCTGTTAATGTGCAATGATGATGGCTAATACGTTCATATGATAGATGAAAGAGGAAACAGGATAGCCCCATCACAGCTTAAACTGTAGACCTCATGCAAAAAAGGTACAATTATAATATCCATTGTGATTAGTTTAGAAACTAATGATACTAAATGACATGAAAGATTGCTCAAAGTATTTCTTCATCTGTGTTTTATTCCCCTTCAGCAAAGTTACCTTCTTTGAATGTCTGCCCTCGCTTTTTGCTCTGTGCACAATGAAAGTGATAGGGGGCAGATAGCGGAGAATCAGCAGTGCGAGATACAACATATTAGCAATTCATAAGCCTCTGACAGCTGAGTGCTCGGCAGGATTTACAATTCACTGTAAATACGCAGCCTTTCCCATTCACAGCAGACAGCATGACAGCACACAGTATATTCACTGAATGTGACGTTTTAATAAAAGCAGGTGTGTGTGTGTGTGTGTGTGTGTGTGTGTGTGTGTGTGTGTTTGTGTGTGTGTGTGTGTGTGTGTGTGTGTGTGTGTTTGTTTGCGTGCATGTGTGCTTGTGTGTGTAAGAGTGTGTGTGTTAGGCATGAATGACAGTAGGCAATTCTACCACTGGAATGATCTTCATCGTGAGCATCTTAACGCTCCCACACAAACACACAGATGTGTGTATTCACACACACACACAAATCCAGACGCAGCCCCATCTGCTTGGTTCGTGGGGGCTGATTTCGTGACCGTAGTACAAAATGTGATGATGGAGATAACAGTAATAGGAGGTCATGTGACTGCAGCATCAGGTACGCGTGTGTGTGTGTGTGTGTGTGTGTGTGTGTGTGTGTGTGTGTGTGTGTGTGTGTGTGTGTGTGAACAATCTTTTTGTTTTTAGTTTTTGTTTCAAAAATAAGTTTTAACAGCCAGTTTTGAGAATTTTGTGTGTCTACTTTCACATGCTGATGTCTGCATTAGGCCTGCTCCCAAGAGGATCACTGACCTCTCAAAATGACATTTACGCTGCTGTCACCTTTAAGTTCCTCAATTATTCTGACAGAAATAAAAAAAACTGTGAATCTGAATGCTGATTGGTCAAAAACCAACTCTCCATGCTGTATAGTATTATACACAGAGTCTGAAATTGACATGTACGGGGTGCAATGCATTCCAGCGAAATGTTCCCAAAAAAAGGAAAAAATATGATAAATGAAAAGAATTTCATTGAACAAATGCTGTAATTTAGATGTTGCATATAGGTTAGTGATTCTGCTGGCACTGTAATCCACTTTATTCTTGGTTCTGCTTGGACTAGCTGTTTCCGAACATTGATCGGAGCTAATCTCCATTTCTCCAAATTGACATAATTCAAAGAGCTATCGTTGACCAGTCAGTCATTTATGCCACCAACCTTGCTTCATAACATCTGACCTTTGGGTTTGTGGATGTCTGCAGTACTGCACTGATAGTTTACTTCCATCATTTGTCTTAACTATTGTTGTAACTGTTCACCTATTCTGGAAAGATCTGAGTAAAGCACATGGAGATCTGTTAAAACAAACTGCAGAAGCATAGTGTATATAATGAAGGCTGCAGACAAACAGGGAGACGTGTTAAAGTTTTCAGTCAAATGTGTGTTTGCCACATGCTAATTGAAAGAAGTGCAGCCCTGTGTGTGTCCTACTAATGAATCTCCTCTTTAATTAATCTTGTCATTTTTAATTAATCGATGTTTCTTTGCAGACTCGGGTTTATCTGAGACTAATATGTTTCACAGGGGCAGTTTGGTCAATTCAAAGCTGAATAGTAGGGCATCCGGCTCATTATAAAATAACTAGGTTCATGAATCTTGTTCTAATTGCTCTCTGAAAATAAACCGATAGGGTTCTAGTTTAGTTAGAAATCATTTTAAATCCTAATAGTAAAATTTGACAGGTCATAAAATAATGAAGAGAAAAAACATTGCAATTTTTTCAGGACTTTATCTCAAAATCTTTACTTAAAATTTTCATTTCAGTTTTTTTTCCAATCAAAAGTATTATTATTATTCATTTAACTATTTCATGAAATCAAATAAAAATACAGAAAAAATGAAAACAATAAGATAATAGGAATGGGGTTTGTTTTTCATCTGAAGAATCATGATGAAATGTTTAACTCCTACTGATTGTGCTTTGCTTTATGAGACTGGAGGTTTGGAGTTGGAACAGGAAGAAGCTGCCAGGTTGTGAATTATTTAGACCCACAATGACAGTAGAGGAGATGTTTTGGTTAGTAGAGGTAAAAGGGTGTTTCCAAAATGGAGAAGAGGGGGAGGGGCAATTTTAGGAAATGAAAGAAAGTAAGGCATCCGATATCGATGCTGTAAATGCTGCCAGTTCCTGGACATTGTTTATTTATCCACTGTTGGGCCTGAGGAGAGAGGGAGGGAGAAACCGAACTATTCAGAGGAAGACATATAGTGTGAGGAAAGAAACCATTAGATAAGGAGGCTGGAAGCAGATAGAGATGTGCTCGTGAAAAGGAAAATTGGGAAAAAAAACTAGAAAAAGAAGAACAGAACTATAAAGATAAACTCTGTAGGTGAATACAGAAATACAAATGAGCTGACAGAAAGAGCGCTGACATGTTCAGTTGTTAGAAGTAAGAACAACTGCATCAGAACTGTAAAAAGGTTGGAAATATCCAAGATGTGATGGCAGTGAGATGAAACAGAGAAAAGACGATATTGCATTAGAAAGTAAAAAACACAAAAAAGGACATTGATAGAAAATAGAGTGAGCAGATCAGAGGGAGGAGAGCACATAGGCTTTAATTATTGATGGAACAAATGTCTGACTGGCGGACTCAATTTGGTCCTTTGTTGTTTCCAGACCACCAAGGCTGTCAGATAGACTCAGAACAGCATTTCTCAAAGTAAGTCTGGAGAACCCATCTGGGTTTGTGATGCGTTGATTTTCTGGTCTTTAATGTCTCCAGCTCAGGAGATGAAAGGGTTTAATTGAAGTAAAAAAAATGTGTTCAAAAT